TTACAGCTTTCCATACATTTCCATATATATATCAATATATGTATATGTATAACATGAATATAATATGTATATATATATATATATATGACAATCATGGAGAGCCTCATAAACCTAGAGAAAGTCAAATGAACCAAACCTTCAATAAAATCTTCATGGATTTTGTTTCTTCCATTTTCATTTGTGAAATTATTTCTGTGTCTGCCAGCCATGTGATCTGCAGAATCTGCAAGCAGGGTGGTTGTTTTATAAATTATGTTTCCCTCACTTTTTATTCCTTATATAGCTACAGATAGTTATATTCTATTTATGTCTTAGCCAGTCCTGTTTCTAAAGCAATCAAAGAACAATTCTCGGAATTTGTAGTGGTATTGCATCTCTCAAGACCACCTGTACCAAAGCTGTATTTATGAACAGAAAGACCTCTTTTTTCATTATTATTTCCTGCAGGACTTTATAGATTAAGTATGTTTTCACATCTCAATGTAGCAATACACTCAACTTTATTCTTCTCTGGCAAATGTTTCCCTATGGTTACACTTATTCATTTGCTGAAATATCTTTCCTCTTTTGTTAGTATTTCCAGCTATGCTTTTCTTACTGTTCCTAATAGATTTAAAAATAAAGACATTTTAACTGATCTTTTAAACCGAGATTTTATCACTCAAAAATTGCAAATCAAAAATACACAAATTTGAGTATAAAAATAATTTTATCATCAAACTGCGAGTCTGAATTTTAGATTAGTAGTACTATCAAAAAAGCAATAGTTTTGTAACTTAAGCTGCACCAATACAGTACTCTCAAAACTAGTTTTCTAAAACTGTGGTAAGTCAGTTTGATATACTTCCTTCTAACAATAATATGCCATTGTTAGAATTGTATTATTTTTCATGATGAGCAAGGCCTTAGTCCATAACAACTCTGCTGTAAAATGTATACAAGTATTAAGTTACAGATTATTTCAGGATCTGTATTGCCTTATACTGTTAGTAGAAAAGACAAATCTTCAGCAGCCAGTAGTGACTTAACTGTATGCTGTCAATGTGCATCATTTGAGGATATACTGCAGAAAGCCCCATCAGGTTTTACATGGGTTTTAATATGACTTTGTTTTCTATGGATAATTTTCATATAGTTTTTCTTCATAAACATAGTCGTAGTCGATGCAACTTACTTTGAGTAAAAAACTTACTGCTTCTACTGTTCAACACAAACTCCTCATTGGTGTAACTGTTTTAGAAATTCTGAATTTCCTCTGCTTTCTCGTCATTGTCTGTAATGTCATCCTCATGCTCAGTACACACATCTGGCAAAGATAGCTTTGTTAATGGCCTCAAAATTATGCAAAGTCCTGCAGGTAACTACACTACTTAAAAACTTTTAGGCACCGTAAATGACATTCTCACTCACCCAATCATTTTCTAGTATATTACTATTATTAGTGTTGTTATTATTGCCAATTATTGTAGGTATCAGAAGAGGCTACAGAATAATATTTTACACATATAAAACAAAAGTTCTAAACATCACTGTTTATGTTTTATCACAGCATTCCTTTTACTGCAATCCAAATAATTTAGATTATCTAAAGAATATTTAGTATACCTAAGAAAATATGTAGGTATCTATCACATAAAAAAACATTAACTATCATTAAGTGTTTCTGCTACAGCTGAGCATGATTTTCAAAAATTCTGATTTTATACAACCTTTTACTTGTCTTTTTCAAAAAATTCAATCTTCTTATATTGCTATCAATACAAAGCACTCTTTCCAATAGCATTTTTCTTTATATGCAAACAAATCTGAAAACGTTTGCCATACCATTTATGAACACAGCATGGTTTCATTCAGATGCTCTTTTTAAGTTAGCATTCCTATATTGAACAAGTACCATAAGTCTTTATTTTTACAGGAATGTTCATCTCTGTCTATAGTTACTATTCCATTGATGTAGAAAGCAAGGTACTTTGATCCTCTGAAGGCACATGTAGCATAAAAAAACCTAAAATGCTGTCATGAATTGTTAAGTTTCTTCTCTGCTTTACTGGAAGTCCTAAAATAGCAGATCCATCCAGCATTTAGAAGTAAATATATTCTTGAGTATATATGTTCATGCTCAAAGCAATATTCTAGGCAAATGGATGCAAACATACGAGAAAAAAGGGATCAGCATTGGACCAAAAGAATTAGGAGAGAGACCAGTGTAGAAAGGAACCACAAACATAGGTTAACAAAAGGAACCAAAAAAAGGGGAGAAGACAGAACTCAAGAGAAGGAGAGATCTCTAACAGGTATAACCAAGAAAATATTACCAGAGGGAGAAAGAAAATAATTTGACCTTTTAATAATTACTGAACAGAAAAAGAAACTTCATCTTTTAGTAAGTCGGACTTTACCAGTACACAGCTTTGTAAGTCTACCCCACTTTTTGCAAGTGAGCCATGTAGGACTCATTTGTTAAAATAAAGACTAATGCTATATTTTATTAAACTTTTATGTCTTTAATATGGATTTTATACTCTTCACATTTCATTTTACATTTCTACAAACATCTTTAAGTTACAATTACATTGGGAAACCAACACATTTTATATGAAGGCAGAAGAACAATATTTTTTGACAACTCAAACCATAAAAAAATTCATGAGTGCCATATTCTTCTTTTTCTATGTCTTCATTACAGTACTATCAGTCAAGAAAATACTGGTATCAGGAAGGGTCAGCAATCTTCCACATCAGAAGTTAGGACAATACTTTCAACATGGAAAGCAGGATTGTCAGAGAGGTACAAGTGAAAAGCTTCAGAAAGGATGGCAGCTGTAAAAAGTCAGAAAAAAAAAAAACCACAAACAGGGAAAGATAAGATAACAAGATTGGAAAGGACAGGAAAAAACAATACACAGGAAATGGCAACAGCAACAACCGTGTTTATTCATACTAGAAACAGTACAAAAACACTGACAGAGAAGGTGAGTAATAAGGCAGCCATTCTTAAAGAGGTCTAAAGAAAATATCTACTATGGCATGAAATGCTCAGTTATTTCTCAGTGAAGGTGACAGGTCACTTAACTTTTAGCTTGAATTAGTCAGTTCAGAGCAGGATTCCTGTGAAGTCAGCAAACTAAAATGGGTACCTCCAGAGGGCGATTCATCCCATCCTAAGGTCTGAATCTTAGACTCTGAGTCACATATTTGAAATGTAATTAATTTTGTGAAGTTCAGAAGGTATTTATGAAGCTAGCATCTTACCTTCAAGATGAATATTTATGGATAACATCTGGATTAAAATAATAAGTGATTCAGCATATTTTCAACTTCCTTTAATCTGAACAAAGAAAATGTACTAATGACTTTCATCTGCACAGAACATGTAATAGGTTTGTGCTGCATAATATTTTTTACTACTGAACAGTACTTGTGTGCACTACACTGAGCACAAAAAATGAAGTCTGACCCAAATAAAAGGAAGTTTGCCTTTCTGTTAGAACTATGTACTACTAGGCTTTAAGTTTATCTGCTGTAAATAAAAATTAAGCTTAACATCAATAGGATACTCTGTTCCAAACTTTAAGACACAATTCATTAAATATCATATTTAACTGATACTTGACACAGCTGGTATTTCAGTAATTAGTTACTAAATACAGTAAATGCTGCTGTGAAAAAATGCTGAAATACAATGTCATGATCATGGACACATTTTATAATGGTTATTTTAAACGAACTATAATTAAATGAAAGAGTCATGGGTGAAGGGCTGCTTTTAAAGTTGGTATACAGCCCAATCTGTGCAGGAAAGTTCAGTGTGGAACTGGTCTGTGGAAACAACCTCTTCATATCACCTTCACCGGCTTGCCAGCCCAGATGCAGAGCCAAGACTGTGTGCTTACAGAACTGCAGTACCAAAGCATAAATAATCAGAGAAGGGGATGGAAAAGTGAGCTTTTCTCCTGGGCAGTGATCTGGGGGCTGGAAGACACCAAAGGACAGAAGTGCTCACCATTAGCACTTCCTTGTCAATGTGGAAAGTCTGAGAGACATAGTCCTGGGACTGGAGTGGTCTTCCAGTAATGACTATTTCAGAATACAGTCATCTTGATACTGCCTATTACATGAGGACAACAAAAAGTTGCCAGTTACAATGCAATTAAAAAGACACCTTTAAAATTTAAATAGATTTGGAATGGGAATTTGCACTGATCAATTTACATGATCTAAACCATTCTAGAATCATGCAACATGAAATAGTGTAACATAAATGCAAAACAACATAATGGCAAAGGCTTAACTATAAAATAGACCAAAAAGTCTCTTATTTAGAACTTCTAAAAGTTTTGTCTGCATTTAATTTCATTTTCCTTTTAGAATGAACATGAAGAATACAGTTATGTTAGTTTTTCTGTATTCCTATCTTTACTGGGTGCCCTTATAAACTGTTGCCCAGTGACAAACATGGCACAGGAATGGGAACCCTATCACACAGCAATTTATAGCATAGTTCTTATGCTGACCTATCTCTATCAGCAGAAATTAATACACTACATTCCAAAAAGTAGATGTTACCATTCCAAAATTAATTGTGAACTGGCACCATAAGGCCTCTCCCTGCCCCACCCATTTTCGCTCTCTGTCCCTTTTAGAGGGGATGTTACTCTGCCATACACCAGCTCAGGGCTCAGTTACACTGAAGTGTTGCTAAGGTGAACAGTTAAAATGTTTTATGCGTACCACTGAGTGAAGGTATGAAAATGGGAGATCCTTATCTCTGTAGTTAAAAGGGTTTTTTGCATGGTAAATCATGATGACCAGTTATAGTCACTGTATGAATATTTGTTAATTGCTCAATTTAAAAAGTATGGAATTTCCCTAAACATATACTCTTGCTATAATACTAAATATACTCATGGGAATCATGCAGAAACTAAGCACATCCATGAACAAATTATGGAATGAAACTTTGTATTTGCAATTTCCTAATTTATTTTATTCTATTACAGCTTATGGATCAAATCCACGCTGATGTCTAACCTGTAATGAGTGCCAATGTAAGTAATCCATTGTTCTACAACTAAATTTGATTATGAAGTGGTTGACTTTGCCTAGCCCTGCTGAGTAACAGTTAATGCAGTTTCTATTTTCAATTTCAGTACTATTACAATTAGGTTTTACACAGAAATTCCGACACTCTTAACTGTTATTGCGTGCCTGCTTGTGCCTTTTCCCAAATGCTAGTGACTAGAATTATCAGAAATACGTATTTTAAAAATGGTTTTGATTTTTCCATGTCTAATAGTGGGTTTTTTAAGAGCTAACTTGGGAAGACAAACATTGGGGTAGTCATCATTTCAGCAGAATAATGAATTTTGTGGTTCAGGTTGGCCCTGAAAGTCAATTGCAAGCCTTCCTTAGAAGTGCTGGTGCTAAAATAAAAATGCACAGTGAGTAAAATACAGCTCAGAACAGCAGTTAGAAAGCTGAAGTCTCACTCTGTTTTCCATGCAAGCACAAAGCATAACATATCAGAGCACTATATAAAAAATACCACTGGAAATACTCACCTGACTCCTCTCTTTTATCCTATTATTTCTCCTATGCTCATTAAGTTTTTTTTTCATCTTTCCTTCTGTAAAGGAGAGTAATTTCCTTCTCCCCCTTTCAGCTTCTTCCTTTGCTTTTTCCTACTCACCTGCACAGTTTCTGAAATTTCAGAATTTAAAAGAGCTACAGATCCAATCCTGGGGTTAAATACCAAGTTCTGAAAGTTTTAGCATGGCTGAAGATCAATAACTTAAATTTTAAGTGTTTTTGTTCTCTTATTTCCAGCAAAGATATAAAAACACTAGAATAAAGTTCAGCAATGAATCTATTTAGATAACTGCAACCTTAGAATGAAATCACCATCCTGTAAAGAGCCATACTCATACAGCAAAACATAATAATTTTTATAAATTTGAACTATACCATTTTCTCTGATAACTTATTTTCATGTTTCGCTGCTATGAGAAGGGCATGTCCACTTCTCTCCTTTAGTAGCCATTCTAAATTCTGCACACAGTGCTTCAACAAATGAAATTATTCATATCTTTAAATATTTTTAACCACTTTATATAAGATATTTAGGAGATGAAAGTAGCGAGAGCTAAGACCAGCATATTGTACACAAATATATGTATTTTCTATCCTGTAACAATTCATAAGCAACATTTATTACCTGCATCCATGACATACATTTTTAAATGCCAGGTCTTGTAAACATAAAATCCATCTGTATAGTATTTTTTAAAGCAGCTTAATAGCCGTAATATCAAATGTTGTTTCACACATAGTATCAACATTTGATGTTTCATTGACACAGTAACAGGAAGCCAGCTCAGGGTAAGTTACTTTGTAGAAGATAGTGCCAGAACTTCAAGGGGTTACTTCTCAGGAATCATGAACTCCGGCAAGTCTTTAAAGATAAAATGACATATGACAAACAATAAAAGTAAAGCAAATTTTTAGGGACCAGTGTTGACTAACTAAAATAATAATCTCTATATTCAGTATAGAAATCTGACCAAGGGAGAAACACAATAGTTTCCTTTGAAAATAATGTACCCTCTTAGAAAAAAAAAACCAAACCAACCAACACCCCCCACCCCAAAAGTATGGTTTTTTTTTTACTATTGTTATGTATTTTTTTGTTATGTTATTTTATTGTTATTGTTATGGTGATCTTGGTACATAATCTATTTGTATAGTCATGTGCTGACAGGATTATTAATTACTGAGTTCCAAACTTAAGCAGAAACCATGTATCTCATTAGCTAAGTTTAGTCACAGACATAAGTATGCAATCATAATCAATATTGAGAAGAAAAACTGTTAAATAAAAGCTTAAGACTTATGAAAATATCTGTTCCAAAAAAATCCCACCGCATTTAAAAAAATGCCTTTCATTTAAGGGGACATCCTATGACATTGATTTCAGTCTTTCTGCAGACTCTTTAGTCTTCATAAACAACTTTTTAGGGATCTGCAAAGTAATAATTAAGAAAAGCAATCCTGCTGTCCATAAACTTCAGTTTAACACCAGTAGGTGTAATAATACACTGGATTAATTTACTTTTAGAAAGATCATAGATCACAGGAAAATGCAAATCAAAGAGACCAGGCTTTAGAAATCCAAGACTTTTTATCCACTTTTTAAAAAGTAAGACAAACATTATCTAAAAGTCATAACTCATCATGTGGAAAAAACTCCATCATGTTCTTATGAGTGCTACAGGAAGGGAGAAAAGGAATAAATGACATAAAATCTACACTCAGCAGATTTCAAATGATGGGACCTGTCCCACGCTGAGAAGATGCCAAGTGTACATTGTAAAGGAGAAGCATTACTACTGTGCAGCCAGCTTTCCACAGCATCTCATTTGAATCCTTTTGTATTCACTGGTGAAGCCAGGCAGCCAGCACTGTGTTCAGTCTAGGGCTCCCTCACTACAAGAAGGACAAGGAGATGCTGGAGCATCAGAGAAGGGCAACAGAGCTGGGGAAAGGTCTGGATCTTGAGTTCTACAAGGAGCAGCTGATGGAGCTGAGGTTGATCAGCCTGGAGAAAAGGAGGCTCAGGGGGACTTTCTCTCTTTCTACAGCTGCCTGAAAGGAGGGAGGGGCCAGGTGGGGGTCAGTCTCTTCTCCCAGGTAACCAGTCACAGGACAAAAGGAAATGGTCTCAAGTTGTTCCAGAGAAGGTTTAGATTGGATATTAGGAAACATTTCTTCACTGAGGGGGTTGTTAAGCACTAGAACAGGCTGTCCAGGGCATTTAAAAGACATGTGAACACAGCACTAAAGGACACAGTTTAGTGGTGGACTTTTATTGATAGGTTTATAGTTAACTTGATGATCTTAAGGGCCTTTTCCAATCTAAATTATTCTATTCTGTGATTTATTTGTCTGTCTGCATCTGCAGTGTAGAACTCCACAGACAGGAGGCTGAAGAAAGTATAGCGAGACAGAAGACAAGCTTTAGATGTAAAGGATTTATAGGACCATTTGTGCCTTTGCATGTAATTGTTCCTGGTGAAAGCAGGAAAGTAGGTTTTTCACTTAAAAGGGTCATGTGCAGAAGGGTCATGGAGAAGAAGATGAGGTTCCAGAAGACAGGTAAAGGTGTAACTAGAATAAGTGTGGCATGAGCTAGAGTCAGACAGAGAGCTGTAGCCATGTTCTCTAGTAAAAGTGATTTCCAGCTGACCCAAGTGTATTTATTCAACTGTGATCTTTCCAACTCTTATTGATACTCCTTCTCTGATACCTATCCCAAATTTTTCATTCATGTGTGCTTATCCTCAGACCTAACCATACACCCCATCACTGCTTCTATATTCATATGCCTTGCCTGGACTTATAAATCCTGTTGTCCTGTCACTCACAGGTAAACTCAGGAAACCACCTTTTTCCAGTGTAGCAGAAGTCACTCTCTCCTTCCTTGAAAATTGCTTTCTGATACAAAGCAAAGATTCCCATCAATCTCATATTCAGCTTGTTCAAAGCCTGACCAAAGACAACATCAGAATCATGTAAGCTAGCAATAGGTATTTAGCAAGATAATATAAAAACAAGCATAACCCCCTTCATTTCCACATTTGTATCAAAAGACATGAGTAAGAAAAATGGAACACAAAAAGGTTAAACAGAGCACCTGTTAACTTGCTCTACCCTTTAAAAAAACAACTGTCAGTATTTGTTTCTAGTATTTTGTTTAAATTTCATAAAACACATTATAATGATTTTAGATCAGAAAAAATATTATTTAAGATAAATATATTTGTATCACTTGAATACAGCTTATAGTCTGGTGTACCTCAAATTTGACAACATCACAATTCCTAACAAAAATATGCTCAGAAGGTTGGAAAAGCTAACATCTCTACAAATTACTTATGGATGTGCTTGTATGGTACTCAGGACAATGAGAAGTAAACTATCGGGGCCAACTAAAAGCACTAATAATAAAAATATTTTATGATGCTGGAAAATTTTCAATAGTAAGAAAAAAGTAATAAGAGACATGATATGAGAACAAAGAAACTTTTTACAATGTAAAATTATCATTCAGGGAAATAAATTTAAAGAAGTTGGTCAATACAACTGGGATTTCTGAAAAAGTAACCAACAGGTAATATGACATGTTATTAATTGTAAGGAAAGTGTACGCCCAATAATAATGACAGAATGGAAAATTCTAAAATCTGTTTTTCTAGCAATGAGAAATCAGTTTTTAATTCAAAGAAGGATATATATTGTAATCTAGAGGAGTTGACAAGTTTATTTTTGTCAGATGAGGACCCAAGACTTGAAAAATCATACTTATCAGAAAACTAAATCTACTAGTAAGGAATATATATGAAAAGTAAGACTAGTGAAGAATTTTTGGGATACTCAAGGACAATGCAAGAACCCCATATTTCTGTTTCTGGGGAAGATGTGATGGGGATAGAAGGATGAATGCTGCCAGACTGCTCTTCCTGACTCCCTTCTGGGAGCTCTTGCTGTTGCTTCTTATGGAGAGGCACACAACTTACCTAAATCTGAGAAGGAAGGGAATGCTCTCTACTTTTTCATACACTCCAGAACATTGGTTCCCACTTAGTTTTGAGCAACAGATCATTATCAGCTCTCAGCAATTTTCAAAAGCCACCACACACCCATCTGATAAAACTTTTAATTGGAAACACTATTTAAAGCACTGTTATGTTTTAGCCAAACACATGTTCAATTCACCCTAGCCTTGGAGTCCACCAGGGATTTGCAGACAACAGCTTGGAAACCATTCCAGCTGTTGCAAAGGTACAATGATATCTTCTACTCCGTCCCTCCCTCCAGACCTTCTGGTTGCTGCGTGAAACATTTCTGCTTCTTTATCTGATTTCCCCTGGGATTAATTTTAAGGGCTGTGAGTGCTTTTAGCTTCTGAATTAGCAGCAAACTGGCATTTGCCATTGCCCACAGGTTTGTGAACAGTAGATGTAAAACAGATCTGCCCATTGATAATACTGCTACTGCTAGAAAAAGGAACAATAAAAAAATCTACAGATTTAAGAAAATGGGAACAGTATACACTTGATTCATGTTTTAAAATTTATCATCAATCAATGAGGACAACAAACTCCTATTTACAGATCCAGAATGATTTTAAGAAATTAAAAGAAGCTGCTAAAAATCCATGCAAACGCCAGTAAGGTGGCTTGAGAGCCCTGGCTTCTCACCGCAATAAGACATTACCTATCACTTTAACAGTGATATCCCACTAGGTAGCAGGCAGGACCTCCAAGTTCAAAACATGTACTTTAAGCTCATTGGGGTTATGAAACTCCGAGAAAACAGGGAAAAAGAATCTTCTCTTCATTTTGCAGCCCCTGCTGTTAAAAAGAACAGCTACAAGTCCCTGCCTTCCTGAGTGGCAGGACTGGTCACAGCCTGCTGAGTTCACCGTTTATGGGCTGATGGCTTCTGTAATCCAACAGCCACTGCCTCTCTCTGATGATGGATTCGGCTGAACAGTGGGGTCAGCGATATCTGGCCACTGTGACAGCCATGGCTCCTGGATCACCACACGTCCTGCTGTGAGATCCTTCTGCAGCTCTCCAGGGTCAACATTAGGTCTGCCTCCAACTGTGAATATTTTCCTTTTATCATCTGCAATCTTTACAATTGCACTTTTTCAGATTGTTTAGGAACAGGTGCCAGTACAGGAACAGCAAAGGTGCCAGTATAAACCTCTGTGAGGAGGCAGTGTTAAAACTGCCCATTAGTTGCTATACTGTTCTTTATCTTCTAACCCTTTACTAATCCACAAAGAATTTTAAGTGACTCCCTACTTTATTTTGTTAACAGTCTTCAGTTACAGAACTTTTTAAAAACTTTTGGGTCACTTTTTCCTGTGCATCTGAAAATGTCTCCTTCAAAAAATCAGCAAAGCCCTAAGACAAAGCTACCTATACAAAAGCCATGATGGTTGCTATTACACCTATCCACGTTCCTATTAACTGTATGTTTTATCATATCACTGCCATTTTGTCTGTCATTGTAGCCTGATTTTTTGGTCCATTAGTCCATGACCATCCCTAAAACCCTTTTTAAAAGTAGGGTCACATTTGTTACTTTCTATTCCTCCTTTATCAAGGCTAATTTAAGTACCGGATTAAGCAACACAGTTCATGGTTTGCTCACCAATTTAATTTCTGAATTTTTCTAGGACTACTGAATGAACAGTATGTTATTGGGCAATTTATTAATGTTTATTCAATCAATTTGTTTAAAAACTTTATATTGAGATAACAAATCTGAACTATTCCCTAGAAAAAAACAACTCCTGTTTGGGGATGTCCCTAATCATTCTGTCATAAACCTTGCCGGTGCAATGAGTTCAATTTCTTTCTGTAATGGCTTTGTCTTTCTCCTTAACCACAACTATCTATTAAACTCACCTCCCTACTAGCAAAATTTACACTGGAAAAAGATAGGGCTTGGCTTTTAAAATTTTAGCCCATTGCATTTCAAAATCTTTTTATTCTACCTCATATTAGGTCTACGCTGCCCAGAATTGTGCTCTTTTCTGCTTTGCTTGCTTGGATTTCGCTGTTTTAAAAACCTGAAATTATTTCTAGAAGCTTCTTTTACTGCTGAATTATGTTGGAAAAGTCTAATTTAATCAGGTTAGAATCAGAAAACAAAGTCCTCATGTATTTTTAATATTTACTTAAACTGTGTCTTCATTAGTACACAATTCATTTTTTAAACAAGACTGGACTTTTTTTTTAATTTTATTTTAATCTTTTTTTCTCCTACAAGTATGACAAACTTGAGTATGACTATCTCACTGCTGAATGGTTCTTGCATAGTCATTTTTTGTATGTTGATCTAGACTAAATCAAGGGCTGTCTCTCACCTTCTGGATTCCCTATCTTGTTTGCTCAAAAATTAGTGCTCAATGATATCTAAATACACAGCCTGTGCATGATGGCCTAATGAGGCTTAACGTTAAATTTATCTAGTCTATACATATATAACCAAGAACTGCTACTATGACTTTGGGCTGTACAAACTCCCCAGTCTCCCACAGTATTTCACAGCAATTGCCTCCATCTCACCAACTAGCCCAGAGCTCTTACTAAAGTTCTCCTATTCAGCCATAGAACCATATAGAACTACATTTTGCGGTTTATTCTGATAAAATTAAACTACTGGACTATATTTGGTACATACTGCACCATTTGTCTGCACAGTCCAATCTACCATGTCAGTAATCAGCCAGGCACTCAACATTCCATCATCTCTGTACAATCTAAACACTGACATTTCAGTGTGCCTTTAAAAGAAAGGCTTACATGCAGACCCACTTACAGAAAGAGGGTGACACACCTGGGGAACTCTCGATTGAATTCATCCTTACCACTTTTCTGAAGACTCATTACTTTTGAGGCAAAATGGAAGCAGAGCACTATGAGATAGGAATGTGCCAAGATACCAAATAAAAACTAGTGGAGGTTCCTTCCCAACAGACATCAAGTGGCATTTGAAAAAAGGACTGATGAATGGCACAGTTGTGGTCATTCAAGATTTCTGTTCCAAGAGATGCTATGTCAGGAATGGAATACACGAAGGATGCTACGAAAGTGTAAGAGGTCCTTCTGCATACACTGCAGACCTTTGATATTTGCATTTACTTCCTTACATGAGAAGGGAGAATCTGTTCTTACTGCTGGGGGGAAGAGAAGAGAGGGATGCTTTCAGAACACAATGCCAGTAGCTATGGACTTGTGCTTGACAGCTGAGAAGGCCTCTGTGGCTAACATTTTTTCTGTTGGCTGCAACTCACTTCCTTTTGTGAGGCCTCTGGTTGGAGCACCTTCTTTCTGCATTAAATCATGACGTGGCATTAGGCACAACAGAATCCAACAGCTACACTGCTACATCCAGTGTATATTCATTATTATTTATCTGTACTACCATGCATCTTCGAAGGCCTCACCATGGGCCACTTTGTATTATGCTGAGTCATGAATAAACAAACAACAAAATATAGATATGCTTAAGTTCTACATAAAGAGACAACAGAGGGATTATGGAAGAGTCCAAATGCAATGACACAGTACTACTATGATACGCATTGGCATTAATACACCTGCAATATTACTGCTGTCAAGCTGGATTGCTTAAAGCTTCACAGTTCATAAAACTTCTTAGAAAAAATTGAGGGAAGATAGTGAACACTTCTGTTGATGAAGAAGTCAACGAATACATGAGAGGCAGCTGAGGAGAAAATATTCAGTGAGGTCTGAAAATTTAATGACCAAATGATGGAAGTTGGCATCATATGTTGATCAAAACCAGAGTTAACTTCTTGATACTGAAGGAGAGGTATCAGGTTGAAGTAGTTCTGATGAGCATTGAAAATAAAGACAGCTTATCTTTATTGCTTTAAAATGAAGCAGGAAATTGAAAATAGCAAAGGAGTAGTTTTGGAAAATGGTATTGCAGTAGAGCAGCTACTTTGACTAGCTAATGAGCAAGGCAAGGCTGCATTTTGTCAAGGCAAAGTAAAAGATTTTCTAATACAGACTTGATCCATGAAAAACCTGCTGACAGGGAAGAATTATCATCCTTTTAGGACTGGAAAAACATTCCCATAATGCAGGTTTACACTAGATTTGGTGACAAAACAAATGAAAGCATGATGGTATCATTCATAAAGGGTCCAGAGAGGTTTTGTGGGGGCATCCACCAAAATACAAAAAAACTACTAACAAAAGACCAATAGTTGCAACTGGAAATAAAGAACTGAGGGCACTGCTGAAGAAAATTTTCATGCACTTAATCTGCTTAGGATTGGAAAAGAAGAGGTATATGAAATGCATAAAACATTATTTTTCCAATAAATACTGCAAAATGAGAAAATTCTTTCGTGTCACATTCTAACTGGTTACTAGTATCTATGTTACCATGTTTTGACTTTCAAGGGTTGAAGAGAAACAATGTCTGTGATGTTACAATGTGAGCAGTGCCTCATTCAACGCAAATAAAGACATGCTACATTCAGGACAGTCACCATACAAGCAGAGTGCAAACAGCAATAGAGGGAAAGATCTCATAGACTTAAAACAACACGCTGAGTGTTCAGGCACATTCCTTTGCTCTTCCTTCTCAGTGTACAGAAGGAAGCTTACTCTGTTGCTGTAGTTTGGCATTTCAGCTCTTGAGATATTCAATATTTTGTCCTGGTTTCAGTAATTTAATGCATCGCAGCATGAGTTAAACCAAAGAAACAATCAGATCAGGTACTCAACAACAGGGGTAAGCAGCAGTGAATGCTGAAGAGCTGGTTACAGCAGGACACAAATCAGAGTTCCTTCTCTTCCAAACATTTGTAGCAGCACTGCTGCAGGAAGAACAGAGCTATGCCCAAACATTATCTCCCTCAAAGTCCTGGGAAGTTGTGATCACAGGAAGGGGAAGCAGTCACACCCAGGTGATCTGCCTCTCAGTGGTAATGAGAAAAAATCAGATAGAGATGAAACATGCAAAGGATTCCTCATATCCAACTCACTGGCATTCCACTTTCCTTCCTTTTCTCCTCTGAAACTAGATCTGTTCTGAGGCACTTCTGATCTAAAGACAAAGCTAAAAGGCTGTGTTTAGGGGTATTTTTGCAATCACCTAAACTCCCTCTGCTTTTCTTTCTTTTACCCAACTTACTGCAATTAAAAATATATATGGCAAATAGGACTAAAAGGTGAAAACATCAAACATATAGGTCTAAACATATTAAAAAGAAAATACATTGATCAGGATTTTTTATGCAATATGAAACATTCAGTGTTCTGAAACACTTCAGTTTCTGAAATGAAATCATGATTTCATGTCATATTGAAAAATCTCAATTTCATTTTATATTGCAAAAGTCTCAAAAGAATAAGAGTTCAGGTTTTTAAACGAGAACTCTGAAAATACCCATCCTGTAATAAACACAATAAAATTGTGGTTTAAGCACTGTTGAAGGTGATGCACTTCAAAATCATTAAGATTTGTGTTTGAACAAGAAATTATGGCTTCTGCTTAGCACTAATTTTATTTAGAAACCCATTGTCTTCTCTTCTTCATTCTAACAGTCATCTTGAATCCCCAATTCATAGTGTAATTCACAAGTAGTCACTGAGTCTTCTTTAATGCTTCAAAGTTCTTATACTCCTCTCCAGCAGAAGAAAACCAAACACTTCAAGAAAAGCATTTACTGAAAGTTTTAAACTCAAATCTAACATATATTCACTGCAATGAAAAATACCAGTAGCTATCCATTTAGTTCTCCTCTCAGGTATATTTTTCAAATGCATATTAAGGGTTTTGGTTTTGTTGGTTTTGTTTGTTGTTGGTTTTTGTCCTTTTTTTTAACTGGACTCTCTAGTCTACTTCTGATCTGAGTCTGATTTCTTTTTTGGTCTTGTTCTTTCTTCAAATTACTTTAATTTCATGCTGCTCTTATGCCAAGCAATAAAAATAATCCTGTGCTCCTTAACCTTTACTCATCAATTATTATCTGTGTCCTTGCTTCATGAGAAAGAATCTCTAATTTTCCTTACACACAATTCCTCCACACTTTTACAGCCCCTTGATAATGATCCAGAAATTCAGTAACATTTCCAGTTCTTCCATTTTTTTTGATATTAAGACACAGCTGAAAACATCCTTGACTTTAAATACCAGAAAGGAAATACAACATCATAAAAAAGGGCACAGAGTTTACAATGCCCCTTTTGTTATACAGGGAAAACACCTACATGTAGTTTTTGCTCATTTGTATATAAAAATAGGCGTCAAAGCAATGACTGTACCCATAGCTACAGGAAAAGAACTTCCTCCTTAACCCAAGCATAGATATTAATAGCTATTTTTGGGTGAATCCACTGACATATATTGGTAATATGTGGTTCCTGCCTAAGACTATAGCTAATCAGCATGTATGATCAAATTCACTCATAATGCCAGCTCAGTTTAATTTAACCAAGGTACACTGACACAAATATAAGTGTATATTTATTAACATTTCAATATTCAACCCAGCAAGACAATTATGTTAGTAAATCAGTTTGCAATATCTATACAAACATTAGTGGTATAAAGAGTTTTTACAGATCTATAAATTTCAAAAATTTATAGTCAAAACACAGAGCACGTCAGAGACACACCATTCTGAAAATAAAGAAAACAAACAACTTAGAACTCCCTACCTAATTGCAGTAGGGAAGAACTTCAGGGTCCCATGGTGAATTACCTAAGAATAATAAAATCCTTAATGGGTATTCTGTATATATTTTCTGAAGAGAACTGAAGTAATTTGACATAAGTCAAACCTCTTAATTCACATTTTTATCACTATTAGTTTGCCAACATCAGTAAAGACTAACTATTGAAAAAGTCAATCATTTTGATGTACTTACAGCTGAATTTTCTCATCATGTGACCAACTATCCACAAAGCCTCAGTGCCATTAAGAAGTTTTGAGGAATATAGATTTTGGTACTGCCAAAAAAACATAATTAAAAGAATGCATGTAAATTATACTAATTTTCCAATTAGAAATGCTTTATGATTAATTCACATCTAAAGTACAAGTGGGGGAAAAGCAGAACTTACATTATCCCAATAGGCAGGTTCCAGTACAATCAATGAGACAGTGACAGAATGCACAGTAAGGAGTCACAGTAGGGTCCTGATCTTGCAACTGCGCTTTCACAAAAAGAACCCTGCACTACTGCAGAATCTCCTGAATTTCAATAGGGCCCTACCCACACATAATCAATTACAGAGTCTGTCTATGTGGGAGTAACAACAGCGAGAACAGGACCTGTTCCTCCACACACCTGCAAAAACACCAAGATTAAAAAAAAAATAAAATTAGTAACACACAGCAAAACCTACTGATAGACTGTTTTATTACAGCTTTTAGCACATAATAAAGGAGTTCCATACATCTTTAAGTTGCATATTTTTTATAGGAATTTTTAGCTCCTTCTTTAAAGAATGTTGGTTTAAAATTGCTTATGAATTTTACATGTAGTGACGGGACATTATGGAAGCTTTTACTGATATTATTTGAAATATAATTTTTAATTATTATTTTCTAAAAATTAATTATTAGTTTCTTTGGTCTATTGTGCAAATCACTTTTTAGTGCTTCAATCTTCTTAAAATCTGCCCCGCTACATCCCTTTTAGGGACACAGCATAGGCCTGTGAATTTATTGAGGTTTTCATGACTTTCAAATTATCTGACCGCATATAATAGCATCCACGACTAAAGTCTTCAAAAATACATAATGAAAAGCAGTTTAGAATTAGTAATTTTTAACCAAAAAGCGGCAGCTTTTTAAAACAAAAAATCCTTATGAAAAACTTTGCTATGTTTTAGGACTTTGTGAACACCATTTAAAACACAGGAAGCACACAACATAGTGTTAAACAGGAATACACCACCACTGTGCTGTTCACAAAAAACTAAACATCCATTATTTGACCTTACTCTTCTTATTAAAAACACATCTATGTTGATCTTCAAAAGGAAAATGTTATAAATTACAATATTTATATATATTATAACTATTTAAAAGTCATAGGTTTCATCAAGTAATATTTAAGTGATGACACTAGGCAAGACTACTGGTGATGAAGGTTTTAAGAACCAATAGATCCTAGAAACACACAAAAAAACATTTCTTCATTCCTTTAATACAGACAGCTCTGCAGAAACAATGATACTTAAAAACAAATAAACAAAAAAGCTGGAACCAAATGAAATGATTTGAGAATCTGACAACCCAAAAGTTTCATAAATTTGAATGCAGTTTGTTTGAAGGTTGGTTTTTTTTTTTTTTTTTGTAATGACTAATTTTTCTCTTCTTGGCTTTGATTTTGTGAAAAAAATCCCCACAAAAATTAGCAGAAAATGGAAAAGAATATCACAAGTTTTTGTTCCTTGGCACCAGGTTGATGGTTTTCAACTGGTAAACAAAATTTGACATTTCAAGACAGTTACCTTACGATACTGAACTGGAAGTGTTTCTTCTCATGTTACTTCTTTCAAATTTTACATTTCATATGCATGACTCTTAGGCTTCTGTTACTCTGAGAAATTCAACCATTTTTAAAGAATATGCTACAGCACTAAATTCTGTTCAAAGAGTGTTGTATCTTGACCCACGTCTAACATTACACAGAAAATTTAAGAATATCAGACATATGCCAAGTTAGTGTGCCTACCTGAGCCTGTACAGTAGACAGCACTTTGCCAAGAATAATCTGCCCGTTTCTCACTGACTAAGATGAATAGGCAGACAAGACTTTTCGGTCACAATTTTGGTGACAAAATCATGCAGCTACCGTATTTCCTAAGTTGCAATGCACTGTGCTAACTTGATGAAGCCTGATCCTAATATTGTTTTCTCTCCCTGTATCTAACTCCACATCTTTCTTCACAAAGGAAGTTAATTGGAATACAATGCATATTTTCTGCACTATTCCAAAAGAGTAGGTTGTAGTATGGGTCAGGGACACATAGCTGCAGTCTAAATTACAGTCAATTTCAGGAGAGAGCTGAAAACAGTGTTTTACAATTTTTGACAGCCTAAGGAATAGCTCAGCGCGAACATCCAAATAACCTAAAAATGAAATACTGAAGCTGTCTCAACAATTCCCTTCTCTGACATGGACAAGAAAAACGGGTTTTTTTAAATCCAGGTATAGAAGACACCATATCATGGAATGAGTCACAAGTGTTTTGGGAGACTAGAAGGCCCTGGGAAAACCAAGGCTAGCAGAAGTAATGAAGTCTAGTTACCTACCTGCATGCTTATAGATGCCACCAACACACTTGTGCCAAAGCTAGCCTGGCTGTTTTCCCATTCCCTTCTAAACAAATTTCTCTAAATTTCAGCTTCTGATGTTTAGGAGGAGGAGGCAGCTCACACTGTGGCCAGGTCTGAGCTACACGTGGTGTTGGTTGGCAGACCAACCAAGCATGCCGACCTGCAAGGCAGCAGGTTGAACAGAACAGAAAATTTCTGAGACCGTGCTGCAGCTTTTTCTACCCCGGGGGCACTAATTTGAGTCCTTTCTCTACTCACAGCTGCTAAATTTCAGTCAAATTGCAGAAACTCGACTTTGTGACCTTTACCTCTTTATCAAATACAGCTGAAATTAAGCAGTGGATTTGAAAGTTATTAGGAGATAACACGATCCTGTGTATCTTGTTGTGCTCAGAACCTAGGCATGAAAACACTGTAGCATAATCACCGTGAAAATAATTATTTTTATGTCACTTACTGTTTTCATTCAGGAGTTACACCACAGTCAGATACAACACAGCACAATTGTTACATAGTGATAGCATAAATGAATCCTGAGAATGTAGAGACTGTTTCAATAAAACTGGCTTCATTTTGCAAGGTGAACAAGGCTCTGAATACAGGTTGTTTCATAAAGGTGAAAATTAAACAAAAATACCTTTTTTTTTTAAAACTTACCATGACCATGACTGACTGCCCTTCATGGAGATCCCTGCTTCTCTTCCAACTCCATACTGTCTTTCCTAAGGCTTAAAAAAAGTTCAGTGATACACAGTTCAATAAAACAGCCACATCAAATCTAATCAGTCTCTTCCGTATACCTGTACTTTTGTGGGATTTTTTGGCTGGGTTGGTTGCTTTTTGTTTTGTTTTTTTTAGAATAAGCATAGTGATTTTTAAAGCATCACCTTAAAATCCTGTTCTTACTGACTGGATCCCAATATCCCAAATTAGGGAATAGTTTTTAATAATATGTAAATCCCAGTTTCTTTTCTATAAATAGCATCCACAATGCTCTGTTTACCCTTTCCATTGATATAGCACTACATTTTTAACTTGTGTATTTCTCACTAAAAAGGCAAACTTGAAATCAGAAGGGTTTATTTGTTGCTGGATTTCAGGAACTGATGAAGGAAGGAAAGAAACTGGGAAAGTATAATGACCTCTCTAAAATTCCAGTAAAAAAGAAGAGAGACAAAGAATAATCAGTGTGGAAAAGTTAATAGAAAACTGGACATAAGAGGAAAGGTTAGCAGGACACAACAGGTGTAAGAGTCAGGGAAGTGAAAGTGATTCAACCAAAAGAGGATGGAACAAAAGAAACAAAGTTATATTCTAAGCAGGGTAATGAAAACAAGCTTTTCAAAACTGTTTTACACTGGCCTACTTCTTCTGTCAAAGTAAAAGAATTACATCAATTTAAAAAATGCCTTAAGAAAACCTTAAAACTATTTAACTTTAAGCATTTGGAGTAGCTAAACTCTGCTCAGCTAAGCAACTAAAGAAGTGCTTAAATTTGGAAATTAATTTACATCCTATTTTTATCTTTCACTAGGTCTGTAGTATCAAAAACATTCAAAACTGAGCCTCAGCTCCTTACCCTAATAAAGCTCAGACTCACACTTTGGTGCTAGTTGGGATGCAGCCCAGTGGTTACCAATTAGGCAAAGTCAAATACAAGATGCAAGGGGCTAACGTGGATTTAGGCTCTTCTCTCCCATACTCATGCAAGTTTTTTTTATTTAAGTGTAGGATTAATTAGTTGAGAAAGAGAATGCAGATAGTTAAATGCTCAGAGTTAATTCAAGAATCAGCTCTCTAAAAGAAAACTAAAGAAAAAATGGCTGAGAAAGATCAGAGAAACAGATTGTTGAATCTGTATTAAAAATAAATTACCTTTGGGTTACATCTCTATCCATTGTGCCTGAAAACTGCTGCTTCTTTCTGGTTTAAGTATTAAACCTTGTTTTTAAAACACAAAGTGGTAAAGAACCCTGACAAATATTAAATTAGTGGTTGATAACAGTGCTAAAGTAATTCTTAATACAAGGTGTAGCTCAGATGTTGGCATAAAGGGCTCAGCATCTCCTTTGGCTATTTAAACACATTTGTGCTTCCAAACCCAGTTTGGTAAACAGCTGAGACAGGTTTAATATCCCATATTCCAAGAGGATAAACTGTGGAAATCATAAGCCACTAATAGGGTTCTGCCCCCTTTACTCCTTACTCTACAATACAGTTACTACAGGAAAACAGAAATTGAGCCATTTGTTGAGATACCAAAAAAAGGTCTGGGACATCACTCAGCATTCTCTGAACTTTCAGTCACTGTGATCCATCTCCTGAATTCTGTCCACCATTATTTTAAACTGTCACCAATCTAAATTACCAGGAAGTCAACAACAACACTTAACAACCATATCGTTACACAAGCAAGCCCCTGCTACCAATATTCTATCCTTTATTTATATCTTTAAAAGAAAGGAAACTCCTTGTTATTTAGATCTATGCTTAATAAATCCCTACATATAAAAATCATTACCTGGTGATTCTTATGAGTAGGATTAAAGACCTGATTAAGGCAGTGAAATAAAGAGAGAAATAGTTCCTCTCACTTCAGTCACTTTTTCACAAAACGGCTAAACAAAATAATGTTTTGTTCTTCTCAGAAGAATGATGAGCACTACTAAAATTTTATAAATGTTGTGCAGCTCAGAGTTCAAAATTTCCCAGAAACTGGGAAACTAGAGAAGCAAATTAACATCTTGCATCAGTCTTAAAAGAAACAAATTGTACAGCAAAAGAGCAAACAAACTAATACTAGCTAAAAGCACTTTCAGATCCCCCACTTGTGTGTTCATTTCAGTAGCATTTTATTTAGTTGCAGGCATACACATCTGCAAAATTTAAACTTCATCCTTTCAAACAGTTTCATATATCCTGAACTTCACACTTCTAAGTAGTGCTACTGATGAAACTATTCATGTGAACAGAGTTAAGCACATGCACAGGACTAAAGTTAAAGAAAGTAAAAAGAAATTAACTAATTAATTCAGTGTATCACGAATGATTATTTTTGAAGTTAAAGACAAAAAGGAATAAAGCAAAGCTTGAAAAATTAACAGCTGAAATATGGGGTGTGGAGGAGAAATTAGGTTATGGTCCCAGAAATTACCCTACAAAAATCTAACGTCAATACCTATAAAATAACAGAATCACTGCTAAACAGGAAAAAATAATAGAGCATCCCTAACAGTCATGACAACCACACTCTTTTCTCACCATTTGATGAGTCTTCTTCAGTTCAAGGTTGAAGTTCATGAAGTTCATGCTGTGGAGAAGCTCACTTTGCCACTGTTCTGCTGTAATTAATACATGAATAAAGAATGGGCTTCGTTTTTCACAGATACCAAGCCACAATTTTTCACAACCATTAAATCCACAAAAATATTAAAACATTTATAAGTTACAGTTAGAGCATTTAAGCAAAACTTTATCACAGAACCTAAGTTTAATACCAAATCCTTTCTTAAATCCTCAGGGATATGTTTGTTATTATGAGTCAGGCCTATAGATATGTTAGAGTCAATACCATAAGATGCTAACAAAATAGTGAAATCCAACCTTTCAATGACTACACCACTAGTCTTTATGCTATATTTAACATTTTAGTGGCTCAAAAAAATCTAAATAGAAGGTTTGCTATTAAAAAATCAGGAGGTAAAAGGAAAAATAGCTAGTTTTATTTTTCATGTGGAAGTTCATAGGAGATCTAATAAAGTATATGCATGTCCTTAGCCAGCACATACTTCTTGCAGTCCTTACAGTCCACAGAAGCATCCTTAGATCAGATTTATTCTGGCAAATTCAAAACTCTCTTTCCATTGTACAGTAGCAAATGCTGTCCACTTCAGTCCTTTCTAGATTACAACCTCTATCATTGCAAGCAGACTAAAATTGCAAAAGCAATGAATTCCAAATTCTGTATTTGTCAGGGTAAATTAGAGACTGAATGGCTACAGCAGAAAGCAAAACACACATAAAGGAGGATGCCCGACTACAGTTACTAGGTTATTAAACTGAAACTTTAAACTTCAAGTGATACGAAATGAACAGGGGACACCTGAAGGGAAGCTTAGACGAATCTATAACAAGGTTCTAGAAGGCTGGATGAGCACTGGGGCAAGGCAGGGCTCAAATTGGAAAAATAAGTAGAAAAAATTTCAAACATCCACTAGCTGTATGTCCATATACAATACAAACACTGAATAGAAAAACAATATGTAGGTGTGGCAATTATTACAACCATATGGGCATACCTTAGTGCCCCCCAATTGGTCTAACTCACCTAGGAACTTTCCAGATGAAATGGAATAACATGCAAGAACCCAGGCAAGCCAAATAATCTAACTGAAAAGTTACACAGTAATGACACAATGCCAGTTTTCATTACAACAAATTCCTCTAATCCTCATAGTTGTAAAATAAATCTTAAAAACACATAGCAAGGTAATTTGTAAAGTAATGCATGCCTGAGCCAGAAGACAGCCTCCAGCTTTCTAACCTAGCTATGAGCTTCAGTGTCAGAATTTCAGCAAAACAGTGCCTTGCTTTGGTTTTGCCCCCTCTCAACTGGGTCTAAGCAACCCAGTATATCCAAGCACAAAGCCTGCTGCATATAGGAAACTCCAAGTACAGGAAACGGGGGGGATGTCATCTCAGCAATGTAGGTTATTATAAGCCCCTCTTTATACTGATTATCTCTAGACTTTAAATGTACAAATTCGGGGTCTCAGGATTCTCCAGGGCACAAACCCAGGATTCCTAAAGAAGTGCCTTCTAAGTCTCTAGGCTGGATACAGTTGTCAACAGTTTCTCTTGTCTGACATAAGAGGAGCTATGCAAGAAGTGGGAAAAAAAAAGTCAAAAGTTCTACAGACAGAAGTTTCTCGGGGCTGGTGAAAGTCTAAGGAATGAAACTGCCAAAGAGCTAAGGGCCATCAGAAATCTAACTGCACCTTGCTTGAAGAGCAAAACACATTACTTCATCCTTACCTCACCAACATAAAGACATAACGTGTATGGAAGAAAAGACAGACACAATAAACTAAAAACATTCAATCGCACATGCTCCTTCCCTTGGCAACAAAAGAACAGATAATATGACAAATGCTGGTCACTTCACTTATTACTGTATGAGGAGGTTCTCTGACAATTTAATGGCACTCTCAGAGAAGAACCTGTAGTGCAGGACAGGCACTATGAGGAGGTGTTCAGATAGCGCTGTAATGAGAACTGCATGAAGAAAGGAGTCAATTATAGAAACTGCAGCTTAACCTCATATCTGCTACCACAGCAGATAAGACATCCACCACTCTGATGAGTCCAATTTGTTTAGGATGGAAATTTGATCTAAAGGATTGACATTACTTTTGGTGAGGCTCAAAATCCCTTTCTTTCCTTCTGTCCTCAGCTGTGTTCCTGCTGTGACTTTTTGGCTTGGCTAGTCACTGAGGAAACACACTGATGATCCTCTCCCAGATGCTACAGCTAAAGAATGCAATAGCCACCTCCTCTTACATGGATTTTTACACTACAGCAATTGCCTTTCTCACTTGTTCTATTTCTCAGTTAAATATTTACCTATTCTGATCTACAAATTATTAAAATTGTGCATTATTTAAGAGATATGGATAGAAGGTGTAAACTAAGACTATTACATTAGGCTTAAGCTTTATGCAGTCCTAAGTAATTCTGAGAATAATGATTGTGTAATGTCACTATTAGCTTTGTAAGTCCGAAACACAAGAGCATAATAACGAAGAGAGCTGTTCAGTGTGCTTGCACATAACAATATACATTTCAGTCTGCACAGAACTGGGGCCTATGTGCATTAAGAATGGAACCTGAGAGCAAGTACTAGATATTAGGGGATGTAAAATTTTCACTTTCATTAAAAACCTTTGTGTTATCTTAGGAATGATATCCTGAAGGATGGTAGTGTCCTACTCATATTAGAGAATACCATGTATCATGGAAACAGTGTATCACAGAATATTGACATACTATTTTCTACATCTTATTTTTATATTAGGGTTGGAAAAAATGGGTGAAAAATAATAACTAGAATTATTTTAGGGCAAAACTAGACATAATCTAAGTACAGAAAAGTGGTATCAGCAACACCATAATTTTATATTTTTCTTTACTGTTTTCACTGCTATTTCTACTGTAAAGTTTTCTTTTCATAGGCACATAACCTTCAGAAAAAAAAAATTAGAAAATATGTACTATAATTCTTTTCAGTTGAAAGGCACACTTCATGAAAATTTTGCTCAGAGTAATTTTAATAAAAGAGCAAAAAAAGTAAATATACTGCGAATCATTTATATTTCCTCCTTTTAATAGAATGGCTTTACAATCTGAAGTTTTGTCATCTGGCTCATTTTCACTGAGAACCTGGTTTAAAAAAATTAGGAATCAGTTTCTTTAGCAGCACCAAACTTCAATTCAGAGGAAAATAACATAAATGCATGATATTAGCTATGTGATTACTTACATGTTGCATCGCACTACTTTTTTTCCTTAAGGAGCTCCAGAATTACATACTCTCTGAGCCGCAGTAGTTTTCGTAGCCATGATGGTCTAAGCTCTTTGAGCCCAAAAGCTTGGTGCTTTGCACTGTGGCAGTGGTTTAAAAAAAAAAAAAAAAACGAGAGAAATTACCTCTCCTTTTCAAAAGTTGTTCTGCTTATATTTTGTCAGTGCAGCTCTAGCAGGGAGCAGTGGAATCATGAAAAGCATTAGGCCCTGAGCCTGCTAGCGCTCGTCTGCCAGCAGTCCAACCGAGTTCAAGAGGACTTGCTCACAGACGTGAAGGGAAGATTTTGAAAGTCAGTGGGAACAGAGCTCCCAGACTCCCATTATGTACTTTTGAAAAATCTTCCCCTAAGTCATAAGAACAACAGTTTGCAGGTCTGAGGCCCCCGCTTTCCTTTCTCTTTCTAAAATGTGCATCAGATTAGGAGAAAAACCCGAAACGCTGAAGGCAGAAAGCCCGAGGAGCGGCTGGCAGGGATGCGCTGGGTCTCGCAGCCGAGGCAGGGTCCGCGGAGCTCCCAGGGAAGGACCCTTCATGAGGCACAAGTCAAGTGCAGGCAGCGAGTGGCTCGGGCGGCACTGTAGCCTGCCTTCCCCCCGCGGCTTTCGGCAGCTCGCTAACCTCCATCTCGGCTTCCCCATCCCTGAAACGCGGGTGGGAGCACTAACCCGGCCATCAGGTACCTTACGATCAGTCACAGCTTGGGGCGGAGGGGAGGATGCGGCGTGAAAATGAAAGTTCGCCTTCTCTCCGAGCGCTCTGCGCGCAGTCGAGGCGGGAGCGCTGCCCGAGTTGAACCTCGCTCCGTCAAGTTCCTCCGAGAGGGCTTTCTGCCTTTTTCTTTCTCTTTTGTTTTTTTTTCGGTGTGGGTTTTTTTGG